GAGTGGCTTTACCCCTAGTCAGTCCTTCCACAGCCTGTGTCAAGAACAGGTTGTCAGTAGCTGCCAGGAAGTTGGTTGACCTGCTAAAGCTAGCTGAATGGTCTTCCCAACAGATGTCAGGGTAGTTGAAGTCACCCATGAAAATCAGGTCTTTAGTACTGGCTGCCTCAGTCAGTTCCTTGGAGAATGCCTGGTCGCTCTCCTCTTCTTGGTAGGGAGGTCCATAGTAGACTCCCACCATCAGGTCAATATCAACCTGGGAAGGACGTGGGCAATGGAGTTCCACAAGGCTCAGTCCTTAGACCAGTGCTATTCAGTGTCTTCATCAGTGACTTGGACGAGGGCATGGAGAGCACCCTGTCCAAGTTGGCAGATGATACCAAATTATGGGGCAAAGTTAACACACCAGAGGGTAGGGAATGGATCCAAGCGGCTCTGAACAGGTTGGAAAAATGGGCAGAACAAAATAGGATGCAGTTCAACAAAGACAAGTACAGAGTGCTGTACCTAGGCAAAAAGAACCACCAACACACTTACAGGCTGGGGGATGACCTTCACAACAGCAGAAAGGGATCTTGGAGTCATAGTTGACTCCAAGATGAACGCAAGTCATGAATGTGACAAAGTGATCAACAAGGGTAACTGCACTTTATCATGCATTAGCAGATGCAAGACGAACAGGTCCAAGGAGGTGATGCTTCCCCTCTATGTGGCACTGGTCAGACTGCAGTTGGAGTACTGTGTCAGTTTTGGGCGCTGCACTTCAAGAGGGATGCAGAGAATCTTGAGAGGGTTCAGGGGAGGGCCACTCATGGTCAGAGGCCTGCAAGCAAGGCCCTATGAGGAGAAACTGAGGGACCTAGATCTCTTCAGCCTTCACAAGAGAAGATTGAGAGGTGATCTTGTGGCTACCTATAAATTCATCAGGGGAGGGCAGCAGGGAATAGGAGATGCTCTATTTACTAGGGCACCCCCTGGAGTAACTAGGAACAATGGCCACAAATTGACAGAAAACAAATTTAGGTTGGACATTAAAAAGAACTTCTTCACAGTAAGGGTTGCCAGAATCTGGAATGGGCTTTGAAGGAAGGTGGTGCTCTCCTCTACCCTGGGGATCTTCAAGAGGAGACTGGACAAGCATCTAGCTGGCTTCGTCTGACCCCAGCACTCTTTCCTGCCTGGGGCAGGGGGTCGGACTCAGTTACTTACTGAGGTCCCTTCTGACCCTGACATCTATGAATCAGGTCCCTCTCTCCTGAGCCACCTTGTATCTTGACCCATAGGGTCTCAAGGGACCTTTCCCTGCAATCAAGTGTGACCTGCAGGGCAGGGTACCGCTCTTTCACATAGAGGGCCACACCTCTCTCCTTCCCAATGCGATCCTTCCTATAGAGCCTATAGCCCTCAATATCCACTGCCCAGTCATGTGCATCATCCCACCAGGTCTCCATCAACCCAAGGAGGTCAAATTCCTTGTCTGCTAGAAGGAGTGCCAGTTTGTTCTGTTTGTTTCCCATGCTTCTGGCATTCCCATAAAGACACCTGAGTTTATCCCTAGTTGCCTCTGGTTTTCTGTCACTCTGCAAGTGCCCTGGGGTGTTAGTACTCATCTGGATGTCCCCTACATGAATGCCCTCCCCTGGGTCATCTTGGCCAGAGGATTTATGTACAGCAGTAGAATCTATGCTCTCTCCCCGAGACATGCCTAGTTTAAAGCCCTCCTCAGCAAATCGACGATTCCCATAGAGAAGAGCTTTTGTCCTCTGCCCGTGAGGTGAATACCATCTGTTGCATGTAGACTATTGCCGTTGAAATGCATGCCAAGGTCGAGGAATCCAAAATCAACACAGTGACACAATCTCCAAAGCCTCCAGTTGACTTCCTTGATGCACTCCTCCCTCCAACAACTGTGGACTGTACCTGGGAGGATTGAGGAGAAGACCACTCTTGCTCCTACTTCCTTGAGCTTTACCCCCATGGTCTTGTAGTCCCTAATGATTCTCCTGGGGTTATTTCTCGCCGTGTCATTGGTGCCCATGTAGACAAGAAGCATGGGGTAGTGGTCCATAGGGTGGACCAACATTGGGATCCTCACTGTTACATCTTGGATCCTGGCTCCTGGAAGGCAGCAGACCTCTCGAGCAAAAGGGTCTGGATGACAAATGGCACCTTCTGTTCTCCTTCTTGGTGGGGGCGCCTTCTGTTCCCCTGCTTTCTTGGTGGGGGCGGCTGTTCCTGTCCTATTTTTGGTGTAGAGGATGCGGATGCCTCATCCGTTGATGATGTGAGAGCTGTGAAGTTGTTGTGCAGGGCTATTGGTGGAGCAGCTGATGCACAGCATGGTTTTGGACCTGATGTGACCAATTTCCAAGCAGTGTCAGTTGGGACATATTAGTCAAGCCCACTCTTCTGCCTGGTTCCCATGGCATCCTTCTCCAGGTGTAGAGTTTGGCAGTAAATATCAATATCTGCTTCATGTTCCATGGTGGTTCACAGTCTGCTCACTTCCTCCTGGAGCTCCCTCACCTGGCCCTCCAGAGTCTCCACCAGCAAGCACATCCCACAAGATGGACGAATGTCATATGCTGGGGTCAGTGAAACATCCATTAACAGAAATAAATCAGATAGCCAAGGATGGGTACGCAACTATCAGCCAGAGACTGACACTCTAATTCTGCTAAAGTTGAGAGAGCCAGAATTGGGTCCAAAATACAATTATAGTGTTTTACAAGTATTTCAGAAAGAAAATAAAAACACAGATCTTTTATAGCATCCAATTTTCAAAAAGTTGCCCCTAACCATTGATGTGTGTATGCAGTTATGCCTGGTAAAACTGCATATGCCTCTGTAGAACTCATTGAAAACCGGACACATAGAGATATATTTCATCATTTTGAAAATGTATGGCTTGTTGGCATCAACTGTTTTATATTATAGTTTTGCACATTCCTAATCGGTGCAACAGGCTGACTTTTTTGGTAATACTTGGTTTGTATTTGACATGACCAAGGAACTTATGGGGTACACATTTTGTGCATCTTTCCAGTTTTTTTGCAGACTAGGTTAAAAGTATGGGAGTTATAGTTAGGGATTGAAAATAATGTTGGTAAGTCATTTAATATTGTTTTCCACATGTCAGCAACTGATTTCAGGTACTTTTTTAATATAGATAAATCTTAAAGTCTTTTAAGCATGTAATAAAGGACGTGCTTAACTTGGCCATTGATGAACTTTTCAATTTGATGGAATTTACTGAGCTGTGATCTCATTTCACAACATGTCTGAGGTGCAGATTAATGATCTAATAAAGGATCCTGGTTGTACGTTATTGCTTTATTTCTACACAAAGATCTTCTGACTTATTTTCATTGGGGGGAAGGTGACAGTCATCATGTAGTGAACTCTCTGCTGCCAATAGTGCTGGTCTCAACCACTTGCTCCCTGCCCCCCTTTCTGTCTCCATGCAGGCCAGTGAGGTCTGTACCACACCCCACTTCTCAAAATTTTAGATCCATTCCCATTTTCCAGTTGATGAGCTCCACTTTATGGCAGAAGTTTCTGGTATTAGTTGCTAATAATCTAGGTTTTCCTGTATGAGTTTATCCATAATAGCTTATGCAGGTTTTCCTGTATGGTATCCCAGTCGTCCTTTGTGGTGCATTTGCCTCCTAACTTTGTGCCAACAAAATTTGTGCCAGCAAATTGCATAAGCTCACACCAAATTTTGTGCCAAAAGTAATTTAATAAAAATATTTATTGCGATCAGTCTGAAAACCAGTTTAATTAATACCCTCTCTCTACCCATATATTTCTCCTTTCAGTGATACTCATTATTATCTTCCCATTAATAAGTTCATTACCCACTTTGCAGTTCTTCTACTTCTCATCCTCTCCAGCTTAACTAAAAATGTCCATGTTGGAATTGTTACATCTGAACTTTCTAGGCCAATTAGCCTTCTGTTCTCTGCTTACTTATTGATGTTGATGGTCAGATTCAAACAGGTTTTTCAGAGTTTTGGAATGAAAGGGTGATGCAACAAATAGAACCTGTATTACACTATTGAACTGCCTACCCTGAAACTGCAGATTAGAGAGGACTGGAAAGCAGTGTCTCTCAAAACACAAAAAATATATGTTAATTCTACCTGGGGTGATTATCTACATAGGATTCCACTCTCCATATGTATGTACCTGAGGCCAGGCTTCATTTCAATAGCAGTCATTTTCTGTGGCTGTGCTGTATCCCTCAGAACCTCCAAGCTACTGGGAACTTAAAACTTTGCCCTGGACTATGAAGAAGAAAAATAAACAACTTTCTTGAAGCCTGGTTCAAACTCTTTACCCCCACACCTCCCAATACCATGAAAGCTCCACCCAATATGAGCTGATTCAATCAAATCACCTGATTATTTGACTACCATGCTGAACATTAGCATAAGTGCCACTCCAGTATACTTGGGAAAAATTCATGTTCCAGATTTCTCTTTGTTCTTGTAGAGGACCCTTAAGAGCAGGGAGGCTTAAATTTTTTCTTACTGAAGAAATGCAGCCCATTGTCTCCTCCAGTGAGAAGTCCAAGAAAGATTAACAGACCCCAGCTCAAGCCAGTTCTATGTATATCCAGAGATTATTCAAGGAGGTCCTCACTGTATTAAGACCCACTATCAGGTAGCAAATAATGATCCAGGTCACATCAGACCATTTGACCATGGTGTTTTAATCCTCTCTGCTCCATCTCCAACATCCCAGTGTCTGAATTTGAAAGGATGCTATCCAAACCTCCATCCATGTGTTCGCACTGCACTATTTGTTGATGCATGCTTCCAAATCTGACCTCAACATAAGTAGAAATGTTAGACAATCAGTCTTCAAGTAAAATTCCTCTCCTTCTTCCTGTTGAAAGAACTGTGTTGGTCACCAACAATGGAAACTGGTATTTTCCTTTTTTTCCCACTGATCTGAGTCTCACATGTGGGGTTTCATTTTGGCAAAAGAACTGAGTGTTGTTACAGCTGCTCAGTCCCTTATAAGCTTGGCTACAATAGGGTTGGGGGGGCGCAAAGGGGGAGGACATAAGGGGTGCTCAGCTTTGATCATAATAAACACTGCTATTCAAGAAGAATGCACATCAAGAGTGGAATTTGTAAGAGTAACATCATTTGTAAGAATCACAATTGCTGTAGGTAGATAACTTTTTTTGAGGATCTGGCTCCTTCTAACCAAATGGGAACATTACAGAATGTGTAGGGATACTCTGACAGTTTTGGTTAAAATTGTTAAAAGCCTGAAACTCTTTGCTGTCTCAGTGATCAAGAAAGCCTAATTGACATCAGATGGAAATCCTGATGAACATTGAGAACAAATGATGCTCTAGTGCCATGTTTCTCAACCTGTGGGTCGCAACTCAGAAGTGGGTCACAAGAAGATATGAAAGGGTCGCAAACGAACTTTAAAAAATGGTTTCACTTTTAGAGGAGAAAAATGTGGGAAACCATGGCTTTTCCCTTACAGGCTGTCAGAGTTTCAGCCCGCAAGGGACTGCCTGGGGCTCCCCTACCCCATATGCCCTCACCCCACACACTGAGGGGTTGGGGGAGGGGCAGCAGGTAGGAGGAGTGGCACTGGGTCAGGACTGTCCATGGATGTTTACAAATGGGTCCTGGTACAAAAAGGGTTGAGAAACACTGCTCTAGTGTCAATCAGAGCCTGGATAACATTAACTCAAATACATTTTTGGGATGAAAAATGGTACCTCTGTCTCAGGCATACCTATATTTCCTACATGGTGAAAGAACTTTAAATGGAACTTATTTTTCTTCTTCCTTCTACCACCATTATTGACATCTTGTCCTTTCTGGGGGTTTTTCTCCTGTTCTTTTGCTTTTGTTCTCACCAAATGTTAACTAACATTAGTTTGCTAACATACTTCAACAGTCTCAAGATGTAGGTTTTGTTTTGCATCATTCTATCTGTAGATAGAGACGAGAGAGAAAATGTTGGGGCATACCATTACTAAAGGTGAACAGCAGCACTGCATGAATATTCCATTTCTTTCATGTGTTGCACTGTACATCACTTTTTGCTCAATAGGACTAGGATTTTAACTCCACTGTGTCTCTTCTGCTTATTACAGCATGTTATTTTTGCAGGATTATTTTAGCTATTTATGAGATTCAGTTTTTAAAATCTGGGTTATACCAGGCTGTTGGCTTGCCAGCCTAGTTGAATTCTGTTCAGTCTTATAAAAGTGCTACATTCAGACATCTTGTGCCACTTCATAAAGAATACATAAAGACTTGCATTAGCAGGAGCTTCCAGCTAGGACTATGGTCTAAAATACTAGAAAAATTTTAAAAAATAAACAAACCCCAAAACTTCCCTTTCACAAGACAAACCTGTGATCATGCTGAGTAATCAATGACTGAGCTATGTAATGCATTATTTTAAAGTCACAATGGTTGCACTAGCATCAGGGGAATTTGGCTCTTCCTAGATCTATCTATCTGTCTGTTTAGGAAGAGCCAAATTCCCCTGATGCCAGTGCAACCTTTGTGACTTAAAAATAATATATTACATGGTCCAGTCAGCGAACAAATCTACCCTGCCTTCTTCCTCTGTATAAGCAGATATAACCCTGATCTTACCCTTTAGAGCTGCTCAGCCAACAGAAAGGTGGAGATTCACTATAGCTATGCTGTGGGAAACTTTTCATGTTCGAGGAGGCGCTGCCTTCCATACAGAGAACTAACTGCTGTGCCTCGCTCAATGCACCTCTGACGCAGAATGGGAGGAGGAGTGGCCAGATGACTTTATGCACCAGACAGCCCCTAGCTGGTGAATAATACCTTCAAAGTCATAGTCAGTTGGCATAACTTAGGCCATGTCTTTGGACACTTTGATTTGTGTCTGTTGCTGGGTAGTGAATCAAGGAGCCCTATGACTCAGGCCTTGACTTCTTTTTCCATTGTAACAACCATAAACTAGGCACAGCAAAAAAAATTTTTTTCAGTCTTACCAGAAGGCCTCTTCTGCAGCTGAAGGGCCTGAGTCATGAGCTGGGATCAAAAAGGCTGGCAGTTCAAATCTAGGTGTGGGCAAGTGATCTTAATTTATGGCCATGGCTGGGTCACTCTTACCAGAAAATTCAGTGACATTTTTAATTAATTAATTTTGACTCTTAACTAGGGAATTCCAGTCTACTTTAGGCCTCAATCCCACAATGACATATGTACATGCTTAACTTCATGAGACCAGTAGTAGAACTATTCACCATGTATAAGTGTTTGTGTTTGTGTCTTATTCTGTTTTATGTTATAGGGAATAAAACTAACATGGTTGCCAATGCAAAGTGTATTTTTAAAGTTACAGTAATGAAGATTAAATTTAATCTAGCAAGTCAGTACTAAGATATTCAAGCTGTGTACTGTTGGCAAGATTCAGCAAATTATATTCTATTTAAATTCAATGATCAGCAGTGAATGATATAAGTAATACAGTTGCGCCTTCTGTATTATTGTCTGTTTGTCGCAACCTATTGCAAAAAGAGACTTTCCATTTTCTATTAGTATTATGCGGACATTCCAGAAGAAGAGAGAGAGAAGAAACTAGCAGCCTGTTCAAGACATCGATTCCGTTACATTCCACCTAGTACACCAGAAAACTTCTGGGAGGTTGGTTTTCCTTCCACCCAAACTTGTATGGACAGAGGTAAGTGTAGAAAATTATTTTACTAGATGATTTTTATGTTTTTGTTTTTAAAATTAATACTTATAACATTAAAATACTAAAATTATGCTCATTTCATAAAGTTGGCACCCCTACAGATTTGTCAAACTCCATTTTACCCTCAGCTACCAAGAAATAGAGTAAATGTCACTACTTGTTCAATATCTCTTGGGCGGTAAGTTCCTACAAATTAAATCAGAAAAAATCAAAATAAGGAGAATTTCCCAAAACTAAACCAAAACCATTTTTATTTTTGACCTAAGATTAGATTTAACCTTGCAGATTTGAGGCAAGAAGCTAGCTCACTACTACTTTAGGCCCCAAATGACAGGACACATTGTTGATCTACTTTTGTCTAGCCTAAGTAAACCTTTGGGACAAATCTATTTGGCAGGTGTGCTACCCTGGTACCCTCCTGATGTGCCACTCCTAGTCCCTTTCCTCCACCAGTTCTGCTGCTCTGCTCTTTGCTCCCTAGTCTGTGCTCCCTGCCTGATTACCTGCTCTATTGTTGCTTCCTGCCTTATCTGCTGCTGTACTGCCTGTCTCCTTTCTGATCTACTGCATGCCCCACATAAAGGCTGCCTTGTCACTTGTGGCACTTATGTAGCAGGTTGGCCTCCCCTGTTTATACTATTGCAGAGAAGAGACATGATAAGATGGCTGTATTGCTTAGTATCTTTGCTTATCCTCTGAACATTGAGAATTTTCTTGTGCATGTTACTACCCTGTCATTATTAAAATGTAGAAACTGCACTTTAGACTCTCCTTCACATAGATTATTCTTTGTATAAATAGCTTTTCAGAAGCCAGTAGAACTTGGCACAAGAATCTGAGTTACCAACACAGGTCCACTGTTTAAAAAAGCGCACTCATTTTTAATCCATTGTACTTTGCTAGTATTATGGTTCTAAATGCATGTGTTTCAAGTAATTTTTAGCAAGCTGTAGCCAAAAGGATTTTGTTCCAAAAGATATTCTACACTAGCACTCTAGGAATCAAAGTTCTTCTGATATTTTTGAGTCAGAAACATTTTGAAATAGGAATTTTTCTTAAAAGATGGTGATCATTCTATTTTATCAAGGACACTCTTCACTTGAATGGGGTAGTGGCTTTAAAATGCATATATTTTGTTATGTATTTGGATAAATATCTTCAAAGGGCCTAAATTCTACATTGAAGGAGGCTACATGCCTTTCAGATCTCTTCATTGTCTTGTTATTTCCATACTCATATATTATATATTTTATGAAATAACCATCAATAACGATGCTCTGAGCTTTCTGTTCTCCAGTTTTTAGGCACAACTGGGAAAACAAGGCCCTCTCAGTCAGTGCAATGGGATTTTCAGCACCCTTTCAGAACAGAGGGTGATGATTTTTGAGCTCTTATGCAATACTTTCAAGTAGTGAATAATGCTAATCAAGCTATTTTATAAAAGAATGGATTGATTTAATTTAAATTTGAACCTGTACTAAGAAGTTTTAAGGTATTTCAAACATTGGACTCAGAGACCTAATCTTATTCATTTAAGATAAGTACAAGCTACTGCTCAGAGTTACAGTCCTAACTGAGCTCCCCTTTTCCCCCCCTACATGCTGGGTCCACATGCTTATAAGTTTGATTTGAGGTAGGCTTTTTCTTTAGATTTCTTGGCTTGGTCCAGGGCATGAGCTGTCTGTCAAATACCCCTTCTCAGACACAGAATGTTACAGTCAAGCTACCCAAGACCAATGCTGAACATCCCCAACAAGACTCTGCAATGACTGTAGGCACATTCCCCCACCATTCATTGCACCCCTCTACTCCATCCACATGGGTTCTCCGGTTTAAATTTTAATCCTTCAGATACAAATGATAAGACAAGAGTTTTCTGAAAAAATTTTGGAGAGAGAATCAACCCTAATAAAGGTATTCTGTTTCTGAGTAACAATTGCAATACATAAATTCACATTTTATATAGCGTTCTACTTGGGTAACTGTGGTCACATACCAACATTAAGTTTCTCATGGGATAGTTGATGCTCTCCCAAGAGAGACCACAAGTGTACAGATGTTCAGGCTTTTTCTCACAGAGTAAAAATGGCTGCTCCCGGAGAAATGGAACAACCAGGCTTAAATTGCACCTGGGAGAGCGAATGCCTGTACACATTATCTTGTGAGAGAAGCCATAGCACAGTCCTTTAGAGTTAGAGTGCTTTGCTCCTCCTGCCCCACCTTCCCCCTCAGGGAGATGGTATGTCACCTAACTGGACTGTACTGCTCCAGCAGAACAAGGAGCAGAACATGCCTCCATAATTCCCACATTGTGCTACAGGGAGACACAGGTTGACCCTGAGCAGTCTGGGTCAGCCAACCTGTGCTGCCCTGCACACTGCTGCTTTCTGTCTCCAGGCAGACTGAGGAAACCTGCCAAGCATGGTAAAATGTGCAGGCAGGGGCCCCCTGGCAACACAATGTCAGCACTGCAAGCTCTCTGCTCTTCAGGGGTTCAGCGTTCTAATGTCTGTGTTCAGGCATCTCTGGGTAAGTGTTTTTCTATCAAGAAATCAAACCTGGGAGAATTCTCTCGGATTGTTTGAACATGTGTACACAGCCCATGACAGGTTGAAGTACACATCACACATACCTTATACACCAAATCTCTTTCCTTTAAACAATACAAGAGAAATACAGATCCATGCAAAAAAATAAAATACTGCCTATGCAATTCCTGTTCTGAATCCTCCTCATTCTTGAGCATTTTTGGGGTGGGTGCCTTCCAGGACATAAACGCCGTGTGCCCCCGGAGGCTGGGGGGCATGGTGAGCTCCTTCAGGCAGTGACAGAGCTGTCAGTGGTGGGAGTGTGGCAGCAGCAAGTGGTGAGCTCCTGCAGGTGGCCACAGTGCCAACTGGTGGCTGGCAACCACCCGCACACACTGCAAGCGGTGTCAGGTGGGGAGGGTGCTTTTGCAGGGGGTGCACATGCACCCCGATGCATCGCCAGTGTTCCAGCATCTTCAGATACCTAGTCTTGGACCTCACTTCACCTGCTTAATCGCTTCCTGTTCTAATCAGTGAGAGAGACCTGCTCAAAGCCAGCTTCTTTTATTTTAAGTACTTAACAGTTCCTCTTCCCTATGACCAGACAATCTCAAAGGATCATTCCATTTTCCAGTTGGGTGGGTTGTTGGTTACTATTTGCCTAAATGAAGCTAGGTTTTTGGCTACCCCTTCATTCTTATAAGGCAAGGTCCATTAGGTTATTGATGGTTCTTAGCAGCCCTCATGTGGATGCAAATGCTCAAGAGCTAGTCCTCCTTTCTTGTAACAACCATGTTACAGAACTACAGCAAAAAAGAGATGCAGAGTCTATATGTGATATGTACCCTAAACTATAAGTTATCTGAGTGGAACACTATATAAGTGTTAATTTTATATACTGCAGTTGTTACTCAGAAAAAGAATACCCTCATTAGGGTGGTGAAATATATTATCTCTTCCTAAATGGTACATTAAGGTAAAATTATCAAAGCTTCCATTGAAAAGATGTTGAAATGTGAGATAATATTTAATATACTTAAAATATTGAGAACCTGACTTCAGTAGAGCTTTGATGTATTCAGTTTGTATTAAACCACGTGAGGTGAGTTATTTGAAGCACGCTGAGTACCTTTGAAAGTTGCTTGATGTAGCTGTCTGTCCCTGAATGGCATACTAATAGCATTCACTGGCAGATGCAGCTAGTCTTCAAAAATGGAAATACATTTTTTTAAATAAAAAATATTTGCTGTAGGAAATGCTTAAAGTTCTGGTAAATGCAAGTTATTGTGCCTTTTATACTGTACGTACTTTCACAGCCAGATAGTTCTGAAATCTTTATCCCTATTTTGGTTTTGTTTTGGCTTTTTCTTTTAAGGATATATTAAAGAGGATCTTGCTCCCTGCCAGCGTCCAAAACGAAGGCAGCCTTACAATGTAATGTTTTCTCCAAAAGGCAAAGAGCAGAAGACATAAATGGAGAGACAAAGCATGCAAATAGGGGAGAAATCTTTCTTGTCCTTAGATATTTATAGTTAATATAAACTTGAAATAAAATGCTGTGGGTTTTTTTCCAGAATTAAAAATAATTTCATTGAGTATGTACATCTTACAAAGTTCATTGGAGAATCTGAAGTATGCATCAGGAAATGCTGTTATTTAATGTATGTATATTTCATTATGTGGCAATACATTATATATTGATTTTGCACCTTTAAAACAGTGGGCTGCCTCCTGCTTCCTTCCATTGGAGTTGATGGCTAAACTCCTAATGGACCACATCCCAGATTTCTACTTTAAGCTCAGTGGAGTTGTACCTACTCATGTCAGGTTTAAATGTTGCTAGTAAACTTGGGGAAAGGGTTAGACCTCATAGGGTGCTTCCATTTTGCACTGGATGACTTAAAGGATGTGTATAACCTTCCCTTTTTGGGCAATAATTGTAATAAAAATGTAATAAACAAAAATGTACTGTTAATGATTTCTTGTTTCCAAACATTCTCTCTCAAGTTTCTTTCCCCTACATTCCTGCACCAATGACATGCAGCAAATGGCTTACACAGTTACAACCATCAATCTCCCTCTCACAATTTCAGCATTTTTTTTTTTGTTAGATTCATATGGTTTTCACTCCAGCATTCAATATGAGTATCTTTTTTTATCCAATCTTATCTGTGCCCAAAGTTACTGTGCCTCGAGTATTGCTAGGGAGGTTTGCCTTATCACTTATAAACTGGGTTTGAGGGCAGAGGGGTTTATGCTGTCATTTGGAATGCAGCCTGCCCACACTCTGAGACCCTGAACAGCTGTAACATTTGAAGTGCGTCAAACACCTGTAAATACCTTTGCAAAGACATTCTTGTTTGCACTGAGTATAATTAACTTAATGAGAGTTCTTGGATGATGAGAAAAGACATTTTACAAAGGACTCCATTGTAGTAGGATTTGTTTGTATGGGCGTGTAGTGAAATAGTCTCTGTCCTGAACATCTTGTGATACAAATAAATTTAAGTAACCAAAAAAAACACAACACATCAGAGCACAGCATTCATAAAAATTAACACACACTCCTGTGCTACTGGATCCAATTCTCCTTTACACTATCTTAGTGTAAAGAGGTCAAATGCAAATGAGAATGTAATTATTTTATAGAACACAAATCATTGTACTCTGACAATGTTTTACTTTCACTGTATAATATCTCAAATATGTAGTGCTTGAATTTGGCATTTGGAAAAAATATGTGCTTTTTTTTTAAATTAAAATTGAGGCATGATCTCACTTCAGTTTGAGTTCTATTATAGTTGCTTTTATTTAAAAAACAATAATAGATGACATTCTCATCTAAATTGTTGCATTTCAAAATTTTGAAACTAGAAATGATTATTTTGGAACTACTTAACCTCATCATTCCTTCTCAGAATACTACAATCATGGGTGACATAGATGTGTTTATATAACTGATTACAGATTAGGCATACAGTCCCTTGAAATCTGCACTGTATTTTACTACTCACTGATATGATATTTCAATATCATTCTAATTTTTATGTTTTCTTTGTAGCCAATGCAGTCTTCTTACATAATTACTTCCAAGACACCAGGTGTGAAGCCAAACAGGTTGATGATATAAATTAATTTGATTCAGAAGGTAATGATTGACAGTATGTGAATATGTAAGCTAAGCATAATCTTTTTTTAAATATAGACGCTACTAGTAAGAAAGAATGAGAAGAGAAATAATGAAAATATGAAGCATAGATACCATTTAAAAACAACTGCAACAGAATCTCAGTGTCTCTTAAAAAGAAATCATCCTCACAGGAAGTAGTATTCCACCAGAGGACAGCAAGGAGCTGTTCTTACTAGTAAAATAAAAAAATCTATCATTTCTTTTCCAATTAGTCAACTATTTTGGAATTATTTTAACTTGAAGCAATTATGTAGAGTTATTTCAAACTGTGTTTCCAAAGAGAAAAAATGATTCAAGCTTTGTCTTTTTTATTAATCTGGATCCATGAGTATGGTTTCTGGAGTTAATACCATTGTGAATAGAGCATGTCGCACAGATAAGTGTTCCATTTTACTCCTGGTTTTGACTATTTGACATTAGGCAAAAATGTAGAGTTTTGCTAGCTTATCCCACCTAAAGAGAAATCAGTATCATTCATATGTATGCTTATATTATCCAAGGCAAAGGATTCAGAAACCAGACTGCATGAGAGCTTGAACAGATAAACATTTGATTAAAAGCAGCAGCCTAATGTGGCAACACTTTAAAATTGTTTGTTTGTTTGTTTGTTTGTTTGTTTGTTTTGGGGGGTAGGTGAAGTAAAGATAAAACAGAATCCAGAAACCAAAGCAAACAAATGCTTATAGAAAAATAAAACATCAGGAGTAATTCAATTATCTGTGTATACAAAACTTTTTATAACCTTCTAGCAGAAAACATGAGATAAAGAAAAATATCACATGCTTAAATTCTGGTGCTGATGTACATTTCCTAATGTATTCATCTGTTAAATCTATTCATAATGTGTCATGGAAAGTTATTGCCTATAGTTATGATCTCAATTCATGAATGCCTCGTGCGTCCTGAGGCTGGGGGGGCATGAGGACTACCCACAGATAGTGGCAGGGGTGTGACAGCGACAAGTGGGGACCACCTGCAGGCAGCGGTAAGGGTGGGCTGAGAGGGGACTGCCCGCAGGCGGCTGCAGTGGGGTCAGCGGCAAGGAGCAGGGGCCAATCTCAGGGGGTGCATATGCACCTGTGCATACCTCCTACATGTCACCAAAGTCTCAG